ATGACAGCTGAGCTTCGCCCCGAGCCTACATGTGCCACTCGGTGGTGTGGTACACTCAGCTTGGACCGTAGGCCGTATGATGCCTAGATCCCATCCAAAATCCATAGGAGCTATTTCGTTCTTGAAGCCTCGTGGATTTCTGGTTGAGTATGTGGTTCTCTTCTTTCCTCCTGCATCTGTAAGTCTGAAATCTCTGTAGGACCCCTTCAAATTTGGCGTATCGAAGCCGTTTAACCCACAGAGCTCCGCGGCCGAGTCTGAAGCGTTAAAATCGTGGGATGTGCCGGGCGTATGATACAATCTACTGTTTATTTCAACGCCACTATGCCCTCGAATACTGCCGGTAGCAGACACTGCTGTGAAACAGGCTCTGAAGCGGACTGTTCTAAAGGACACGAAGAGAGTACAATCGGTAGGAACGATCAACTCGCAAATGTGCATACATCGTCTTACTGTTCATTACCCTCACTGTTTCAGGTTTTGAATCTCTCAGGACTTCCTATATCAAATATTGAACCTACTACTAAGTTGATGATGGTTGAGGACACAGTTAGGTAACGATCATTGCCTACTGGGATCCAAAGTCTTCATCGCGACTCCACCAGGGATCCGTTAAAATTTCAGACATAGTGGCTCTCTCTGCAGGACCAAGTTTTATCATCCTGGATATCACTCTCTTTGTCTCAGTGTCAAGATTTGGGAAAACCTCTTCCTTCCACCCGTCGAATCGCATGCTTGGATCATCAGCTGTTGCCTCTGACAACTCCATCAAGATATTGCCCCATCCTTCGTCGTTAACATGTGATACCAGCTCAGGAGGGACAGGGCCGAAGAATGTTATCAAACGGCCTAAGATCTCCAGCTCAGGTTCGATTCCCGCTTCCCTTAGTTCTTTGAAGTCAGGATGTAGAGTTTCCATGCCGGTTATGACATAGAGAAACTGTGAGGAATGTTAAGCGGGTGTGCTCATTAACAGCGAATAGTCCAACTTACAAGTAGTCCATAAGAAAACACATCTGAAGGTTTACCGATACCCTTCCCTATTTGCCCCTCTGGACTGCGCCACATCACGTTTCCTATTCTAGCATTGAGGAGCCTTTTGCCTTCCAGCTCCAAAGAGCAGTCCAGATCGGATAATACCACTCGCTCTATTTCAAGCTGGCCTTCGTTGTTTTTCCTGCAGTCCACCATGACATTGTCCGGCTTTATGTCTAGACGTGACCCCTGTCAGCGCAGATTTGATGAAGTGATATTTGACCAACCCAAGTGTATCCAGTTTTTGGCGTGAAAGCTCTCCACTGCCAGCCCAACCTGTTGCAATATGAATTTTCTTGCTTTGAGAGATAGATTTGAGTTGTTCTGTACTAAGGAGAGCAAGTCATGCGCAAAGTATTCATAAACAAGAATGAGTTCATTTTCGCTGGCATCCGCATGTGTTCGAAGTTGACAAGTATCTGGAAACTCCCTTTTGAGGATCACAGAATGTTCGAATATTGACTTGGAAACAGGCTTCAAAACAAAGGGTCGACTCTCACAACTGAGATTCATTTGCCATCTGATTAGTGGAAAGTCTGGAAATACTAACAAGACGATTGAAGAAATAGAGACTTACTGTGCAAGGTAGATATTCAGCTCCGGGTTCCTTGGATGAGCTTTGAGTACCCCATCACGCACGTAAACACGGCCAGAGGCGCCAACAAGTGTCGAGGACATCCTGCCCCTGATTCCTTTTAACTTGTCGAGATGAGCAAGAACAGGATATGGATGAGCTTTGATTCGTAACGAGTAGCGGTGCCACATGACAGCGAGATTGCCACAGCCGACCGGAGCGTCGAATGTTTGATGATTCTACTCCGTACCCCTTGGAAGATTTCCGCCTTTGTCTGTGCATTCACCGTACGCCACGCGATCACCATCTTTCGCAGCGCTCCATACATCGTTTGATACCCAGCCATCAGAGTTCGTAGGGAGCGAGTCTCTTAGTCATTGGTTAAGATTTTGAACGGTCTCAAAGTCTCCATAATCTCGAGCATGCCTGTCCAGTTCTTCTTCAGTCGGAGAAAAGGGGCAAGAGCCCTCAAGTCCCACTTTTGTCCAACGAGCTGATCAGCTGAAAGCTCAATTAACTCTTGGTGGAGCGCTGTGGCGCTGTCTCTCCATGCGGATTATGGGTTGATCTACTAGCTATCTAACCCACCCTCATATCCATACGGATTGGATTGTGGATAATGGATATATCCATACTATCCAGTCAGGTGACCTCTAGTATTCAGATTACCACCTACTTTCCAGTATTCTAGTCACACCACTAGGATATCTATATCTTTTATTTAATACTATAATAATTTACTATATAACTATTATATATTACCTATTATATAAGCTAAAATAGCCTTATATAGGGGAGTAGTAGTACCTCCTAAGGTTAGGATGAAAAGTGGTACGGATCTAATATATATCTTACCACTACCATCCTAACCATCATCAGCTAAAATCTAAAATCTACCATGACTCTAATTTTTCTTAGTAAATCTAATGTTTTATTATATATATAGATATGGATATGGATTTGGATATGGATTTGGATATGGATTTGGATATGGATTTGGATATGGATTTGCGGATTGGCTCAGCCAGTCTACTTGCGGGACGTAATTTAGGAACAAGGCACTTTCAGAACGCAGATCTCGATATTGAAGAGCTATAGTAGAAAAATATCCCATATACAGTGCATTTTCTGGCCTTGATTGCTCCTCATCTATCTGCATAAATTTTCTATAGCGCTTACAGTTAAGCTGGACGGAATGTGTCAAGACTTCCAGCGGCAAATGTTGCCAGGCCAAGCCCACTTATCTCGCCGATGAATCGCAGCTTTTCTTGGACCCATGCCCTCTTTTTCTCACCCGCCAAAGAAGAGAACAGCAAGACAACCAAAGGCCAGAAGATGCTATATGCCCGATAAGGCATTCCTATCTGGTCTTCCTCCATATTATGCTCGCTGTCGAGCCCCAGAACGGCGCAAATCTCCCCACACACCTGTTCGAGGATCGTGAACCCCAGTGATGGGTCAAACTGATAATCAGGTTTGTGGTGGGTTCCGTCACCGTCCTCAAGCAAAGCCACAAGGCTCGAGACCACTTCAACGACATGGTACCTCACAGTTTGATATAGACACCTTGCGATGGCCTCAGTCGTTTTGGTGGAGACCTCGAACATGTTATTAAAGGCTGTCGGCTGTAGATGTGAAGGCAGATCTGGATTCGATGAGGACTTGACGCTGGTTGCCGTGGCGTTGAGATTTTCGCAAATAGCAGTCCCATCCTTGATGAGCTGTATCACCTCGATTCGAGATGGGCGGTGGCTCATCGTGACCTGAGCGTGCACACGCCTCTTAAAATCGACCGTCTGGCCAAGAATGGGCTCTAAAAGAGGCCCTTTTGCCCATGGAGCCGCAAACTTTTCCAGGGTTAACCATTTCACACCGAAGGAGGGCTCATGATTGAGGAACATACTCATCAACTGAATACCGATGTCAGTAGAACGTTGACTGTGCGTGGCCCGAGGGTGGATACGCACACAGATATGACTGAAGAATGTTAAGAAGCTTTTATCTAGTTCGGAATCCTGGGACTGCTCAGCCCGCCATCGAAGCAAGAGCAGTGCCCCTTCAAAGTGGATATGACAGCGGAAGACCGGGTCCTTCAGGCCACTCGTCGGGAACTCTGAGACGATCATCTACATGCGTTTAGCATGAACGGGCCTTGTTGACGGCAATCGAGCTCTCTTCTATGAAAAGGTGAGGGCAAAACTAGCCAAACATATCTTACCTCAAATAGTAAAAGCAGAAACAGAGTTACGAGAACTGAATCGTCGGCAGTTAGGACAGGATCATTAAGTGCGACATTAAGCGCCGTAATCGCTTTGCCGTAGTGCTGCCTTGCCCGCACCATCAATCCAGACTGGTGAAGCTGGCGAGCCGAGCTAACTAAGGCCACGGCCTGGAGGGCTTCTTGGAAACATGTCGACGAGCTGCTCGTATAAAACCTGGGGAGAACGTTGAAGAGCGCGATGCCCGAGTGGATTGCATAATCTCGGTAGAAACGCCTCCAGCTGAGCAGCTCGGCAGGGATGTGGACTTCTCGCGGAATGGTGGTGTCCTCTCTTCTGATCCGCTCCATTCTTTGCGTTCTTACTTTCTGAACCCGCGTCTGCACTTTATTCTCGGCATATTTGTTCTGCACGCGCAGCATGACGTCCCAGGCCTCGGGGTAGCCAGGGCATGGTCGACCCGCCTGCGTACAACGCCGACAGTATGGCTTTTGCAAGTCACACTAGAGTGGGAAGGACACTGTTAACCAGACGGACCTTGGCAGCGCAAAGGGTTCCCGTACCTTCACACGCCGCTCGCGACACGTGAAACAGCATTTAGATCGCCTGCCCGCGTTAACCATGACGAAGGGGGTGGGCTTCTTCTTCGTCTTGTTTTGCTCCGGTAGTGATGTCCCAGGGACTTGTGCAGCTGGAGAGGCGGCTCATGTTGGTGGAAGTAAGTTGTGGGTGTTTGGTGTGTCGTCGACTCGTCACGGTCCCACGGATAGTTATCAATGTCCGCTTACCATTATCGGACTAGCGTCAAATACCTGATCACCAAGCTAAACCTTAAAGGGTCGTAAGCGCGAGCTTTAAACTTTCCACGCCTCGATCCATGGAGATGGGTTGGATTGAATGATTGATACTGTGATACAGAGTCTTTCGATTTCAGTTTCTGAAGTATACTCTAAGATTAATTCCTGAACACTAATTGCCAAGCCAAGCCAAGCTGTATAGGGCGATTTTGCGGAGACATCGAAGTTTTTCAAGTAACCATATCTGGAGCCAGCTTGTTTACCCTTTTGTGAATTTGTCATCCATTTTTCTCATTTTGAACATGTGTCTATATTTTTCTTTTAACTTGTTAACTAAGATCCGCGTGAGTCGAGCTGTCTTTTGAATCCACAAAGATGCGGACACGCATGTGCTTTGATGACGTTGCATGGGAGCAAAGTGACGCTATCTCGGATGCTTGGGTGGCAGACCTGTTCAAGACGGATACTTTGAGAGCAATCGGCGATTTTATCGTGAAGCATCGAAAAGGAGTCCCTACCGAGTTGTGTGACCCCAAGGCAGGTGCGTTTAATGTATCCTTTCGGATGAAATTCGAGGATGGTGGTTCGGCAATGATCCGCTTTCCCAAGCCTGGAGCTACTATGTTTCCCGAAGAGAAGGTTCGGAACGAAGTCGCTATCATCAGGTACATCCAGGACCATACATCGATCCCTGTACCATTCATTCTGCACTGGGGAACAAAGGAAGAAAGTCCTCTCGGTTTGGGCCCATTTATTATCATGGAATATATCGACCACGCCATGGATTTGGGTGCAGCGCTAAATACGCCAACGCTCAATATTGAAGATCGTCCAATCCTTGATCCGTATATCAATACAGATAAGCTTGAAATGTTATACGGACAGCTTGCGGATATCTTGCTTCAGCTGTCAAGATTATCATTGCCTCAGATAGGATCTCTTACCCAGATTGACGATTCCACATGGGAATTGACAGCTCGGCCCCTATCAATCAATATGAATGAACTAGTCCGTCTGGGGACTTTACCACGGTCGAAACTGCCAACCACCACCTTCAAAACAACGCCGTCTTATTTTAGAGCGCTCTCGGAATTACATATTGAACATTTGAATCATCAACGAAATGATGCAGTCGAATCTGCGAGTGACTGTCAGCGGAAATTCATCGCCAGACAGCTCTTCAGTAAGCTCGCCAGAGAAGGCCGACTTACTTCCTTTTCTGCAAGTGATTGCGGACCCTTTAAGATATGGTGTGATGACCTTCGACCCTCCAATGTGCTGGTCAATGCAAACTTGCAGATTGTTGGGGTCGTGGACTGGGAATTTACATACGCAGCACCAGTTGAGTTCTCCTACGCGCCACCATGGTGGCTGCTTCTCGAGCAGCCGGAATACTGGCCGGACGGGATTGAGGCTTGGACGAAGGCCTTTGAAATTCGTCTACATACGTTCCTAAAAGTGCTCCTCGAGCGTGAAGAAGCAGCTATTAAGCAGGGCAAGTTAAAGGAGGACCAAAGACTTTCTGGTCCAATGCAACAGAGCTGGGCAAATGGCGACTTTTGGGTCGCATATGCAGCGAGAAAAAATTTCGCCTTTGATGCCATCTTCTGGCAGAAACTTGATCATCGGTTCTTCGGGCCATGCGCAGTTGCAGCAGAAGATAGGTGGGAAAAGAGGATTGACCTGCTTAACGAAGAGGAAAGAAAGTTTATGGAAGAGTTTGTGAACCGGAAACTTCAAGAGATGAAAACCAGGGTCTTGGCATGGGAACCGGATGAGGTGTGCAAGCATTAGAAGCTTGAAATTTAACTGGTTATTATAGTTGCTGTGGTTAGGCTAAGAGCTGTTGGTTAATTGCTTATATATTTTACCTCTTGTGATCCTCTTTCTAGGTAGTTACAACTCTCAAGCAATACAGATGTCTTCGACAACAAAAGTGATTTCGAAAACTTCTGTGGTATTGCCGTCCCTATCAAGCCTGGATGGGTACTAATTCTTCCCATCAACCGACAGAAATGAGTTTTGTGGCCGGGTCTGTTTTGCCACTTGCCAAACTGAAAAGAGGAAATGAGGAAAACTAGCCATAGTGTGATGTTAAGGACTTTCTTTGGTCCGCTGTGCTGGGACGCCATGGCTTGAAGGGTGGACAATTACTAACTTGCGAAATTGAGGAGCCTCGTGGCGCGGGATTCGGAAGCTTAATGAAGAGTGAACCGGGTCTCGGAAGGAACTCAACCCGCTTTATGATTTGAAGAGGGATATTAAAGGGCGATGGCGGCAGTCTCTCTTCGGAGAAGACAAAGTCCACAACTAGAAGCTCATGTAACCTTCCTTTGAGGGTCAGACACATCCAATTAACGGAGAAGGACCAAGGACACCACACAATGCCTTTTTTCCAACCACCAGTACCGCCTCTGTCCTCCGGGATCGACCTTTCTGGGCAAACAACCATCGTCACCGGCGCAACAGCAGGCATCGGGCTTGAGATTTCTCGCCAACTTATCCTGTACGAGGTCTCAAATCTCATCATGGCCGTGCGCAACACGGCAAAAGGCGAGACTGTCCGAGAATCTCTGCTCTCCAATCCGGCTGTCAAGGCGGTCAATCCAAATGTCACGATCAAAGTTATGGAGCTCGACACAGAGAACTGCGCGAGCGTGCAGCGCTTCGTGTCTGCCTACCAGCTCGCGTTTCAAGATTTGCATCTGCTGATGGCGAATGCGGGGATTGGTACGGCAGCGAAAGAGTTGGCAAGTTCGGGGCATGAGAAGGACATCCAAGTCAACTATCTCTCCAATGTCCTGCTTACACTCGCTCTCCTACCCACGCTGGAGACGACTGCAAACAAGACCAGCAAGCCAACAAGAGTTACTTGGACCGGTAGTCGAATGTACGAGAAGACTAGTCTAGTCAACAGGCTTCCCCTCCAGGAAGGAGAGGGGATCCTCAAGCACTTTAACAACGCCGAGGGCCTCTCCATGTTGCAACGATATGGAGATAGTAAGCTCCTCTGTGTGCTCTTCCAGCTCGAACTCGCGAAGCACTATCACCCCGACAAAGTCATCATCAACAGCTTCTGTCCCGGCCTGGTCGACACAGGGATGACTGATGTGCTCCCCATATATATGCGCATACCCACGAACGTGATGAAAGCTCCCAGCGCTCGATCACCAGAGAAAGCGGGATGGATTGCGCTGAATGCAGCGGTCGTTGCGGGGGTGGAGACACATGGGAGGCTCCTCAGGGATATGGCGGTGGAGGAGCCGTTCGAATTTATTAAGAGCAAGGAGGGGCAGAAGGTACAGAAGATGTTGTGGAATGAGACGATTGATAAGGGCGGGAGTGGTAAGTCTGCCTACTTGGATGAACAAACTGGTGTGAGATGTGATGTGCCTTGGAGAGTATGACTTTGGGGTTTCGTGGAGTCATCATGGTTTGTCAGCCAAGGGGATGATGCATGCAGAGGGACAATTCGATTTAGTATGACTTTTTGATAATGCTTATTGATTTTTATCTAATTCTAATTATGCAATATATGATAAACAGTGACGGAACAGAAAGTCCTCATGGGCTGAGCCGTATATTGCAGGCGAGGTTACACGAAGCTGTCAGCAACTGTACCTCAACGACAATGGATGAGCATATTAGAGCACATTATCATCTATAAGCAAAATAACATTATTTGATTTCTGCAAACTCTATAATACTCTTAATAACTGCTGCCTCTGGGATGATCAGAGACCCTGAATCATTACTCTCTGCGCTATACATTGTATGGCCATGTTGGCATGTTGATGCAATAGTAAACAGTTAGATTGTCAACAAGACTGCGAAGGTTTCGCCAACTCAAAAGAAAATGCGCCACAGGCGGGTGCAGGCGATCCTGTCAGCAAGAACTACTTCATCCTTGTCCGAAGCTGACAGCCTGACACACATTGCATGGACTACATGCACAATAGGCTGAGCTCGTATAAGTGTTAGCCCAGGTCCGGGTCAGCGACATGTGAACTCTTCCGGCGAGGCATGATGGTGAGTGGAGCACTGAAAGAGAGAGATCATAAACTGTGGGATACGTGCGCCGAGGAAGCGTCGTACAGTGCTACCTGGATATGGTGTAAGAATTATCTCACTACGCAAAGGAAGACATGACAACGAAGAAAATTGCAGAGAAGAAAACCGAGGCTTCCAAGCATGCCATGTGTATCCGGATGCAAAATGGCTAGTGACTAGACCCACCCACGTCACCACATCTCAAGGAGTCGAATTAGGAGACTCAATATCCGTTCATAGTTCATTATCTCCATGTCGACAACTTCCGAGATCTCCGGCCGATCAGCAGAGCTGCAGCTGTCGAGTTGAAACCGTCGATGATCTGTAAGCAACTACTTGGTCTCGGCTGGATTGGACAATTCTCCAGCGGTATTGCTCATAGAATCAGTTATCTACGGTCCAGAACAAACGTGTTCTAGAAAAGTGCGTCAATTGAAACAAACCATCGAGATGCCAAGTAAAATTGTATTGGTCCGCAGCCGCTGAGTCAGCGGAAGGCGGAAGCTCTGCTGATTCCGCCCAGCCCTTGGCCGAACCGCAGAAGACCGTTTATTGGTTCTGCCTGGCTGACTCAGCGGAAGCTTCAGAATAAGACGGGCGAAGGGACGCCCGACGCCGACGCCGACCCGCTCAAAGCTGCTGCTACTGTGCGAACAAATCAAAATGGCGGATCGTGACGACGACGACATTTCGTCTTGCACCTGGCGCGGCGTCCTTTGCAGAATCGGTCGATATGATAAGGATGATCCTTGATTTTCATCCATGGAGATTTTATTCGGAATTTCGGGCTCGGATTCGGCATTATGGCGACTGGGGCCACCCCCGGCAGAACGAACAATCAGCGGCGCAGGCCACTCTTGTAACGACAAGCTTACCATTTATTATCGATCACAATGACATCGACCATGATGATTGGCGAACACAGCCTTGGGTCTTGTATATTTTTTTTTTATGAAGCTGTGAGACTCGGGGGCCGGGTCTGTTTGAACCGCTGACCCACTCGGCTGAATCATGGTGGAAAATGGCAAGCTAATATATACCTTCAATGGCTCCTGAGATACTCTCGACCTGTCTCCAAGCTCGGGTTGAAATATTTTTGCCCTTCTGGCCACTGAACTTGGAGCCTGCTCAGCCATGGAGGACCAAGGTCACCCACCGTTTATTGCGCCGACAGTGCTATTTGACAGGCGAGATGACACAGACAGCACGAACACCGTTCTTGATGAAACCGATCAGTCGCCTACTCCTCGTCCTCAAGACACCTCTCACGCCGAGGACTGGAGTTTGATGCCCGATATCAAGAAACAACATGACCGGAATCGAGTATCGGGCCTCAGACGTCGCGAACTTGGCGTGACCTGGAAGAATCTGAGTGTGGAAGTCGTCAGCGCAGATGCCGCCATCAATGAGAACGTTTTGTCCCAATTCAACATTCCTCAGCACATTCGAGAGTCTCGTAACAAGGCCCCTTTGCGGACCATTCTTCACGAAAGCCATGGCTGCGTCAAACCGGGAGAGATGCTTCTTGTACTCGGTCGTCCTGGTTCCGGCTGTACAACTCTGCTCAGGATGCTTTCTAACCATCGACTCGGCTACAAGTCGATTCAGGGAGATGTTCGTTTCGGATCGCTTACTCCCGAGGAGGCCTCCAAATACCGCGGTCAAATTGTTATGAACACCGAGGAGGAACTGTTCTTCCCTACCTTGACTGTTGCACAGACCATGGATTTTGCGACCAGATTAAAAGTTCCCTTCAATCTTCCCGAGGGTGTCACTTCACAGGAAGCTTTTCGGCAGGAAACCAGGGAGTTTTTGCTCAAGTCCATGGGCATCTCTCATACTTCGGATACGAAAGTCGGCAATGTGTACGTGAGAGGCGTCAGTGGTGGTGAGCGGAAACGTGTGTCCATCATCGAGTGCCTTGCAACTCGTGGCTCCGTCTTCTGCTGGGATAACAGTACTCGGGGACTGGACGCCAGTACTGCTCTTGAGTGGGCAAAAGCTGTCCGTGTGATAACTGACGTTTTTGGACTGTCATCAATTGTTACCCTTTACCAAGCAGGAAATGGCATCTATGATCTTTTCGATAAAGTCCTGGTTCTTGATGAAGGCAAGCAGATCTACTATGGTCCAATGTCCCAGGCACGGCCTTTCATGGAGGAGCTAGGCTTTGTTTGCCGTGAAGGATCGAACGTGGCAGACTTCTTGACCGGTGTTACTGTCCCGACCGAGCGCAAAATCCGACCCGGATATGAGAATCGCTTCCCACGCAATGCGGATGAGGTTCTGGCCGCTTATGAGAAGTCGCCGATCCGAGCCCAGATGGCACTTGAATATGACTACCCTGATACTGACTCGACCCGGGAGAGGACGGAAGAATTCAAGCTTGGAGTTGCTGATGAGAAAGCTAAACGGCTGTCGAAGAACAGCCCCTTCACGGTCGACTTTGTGCAACAGGTCAAAGCATGCATTGTCCGTCAGTACCAGATCATTTGGACTGATAAGGCAACGTTTGCCATCAAGCAAATTTCTACTCTGATTCAAGCACTCGTCGCTGGTTCTCTCTTTTATAATGCTCCAAACAACTCTGGCGGCTTATTCATCAAGTCGGGTGCCCTATTCTTCTCGTTGCTGTACAACAGCCTCCTCGCCATGTCAGAGGTTACGGATTCCTTCAGCGGTCGACCAGTCCTGATTAAGCACAAGTATTTCGCTTTCTTTCATCCCGCCGCGTTCTGCATTGCGCAAATTGCTGCCGATATCCCGGTTCTTCTGTTCCAGATCAGTATCTTTGCGATCGTCGTCTACTTCATGGTTGGCCTTACCACCTCAGCAGCAGCCTTTTTCTCTTACTGGGTCATCATCTTTGTGGCTACTATGGTAAGCCTTGCTTGATTGCATCCATCCAACATCGAGTTATTTGGAATACACCATGTGCTGACAGATGCGCTGTGTAGGTAATGACCGCATTGTTCCGTGCCATCGGAGCGCTTTTCTCTACCTTTGACGGAGCCTCGAAAGTTTCTGGATTCTTGATCAGCGCGTTAATCATGTACTGCGGCTATTTAGAACCTTACCACGCGATGCATCCATGGTTCATCTGGATATATTGGATTAATCCGATGGCATATGCCTTTGACGCGTTGCTCTCCATCGAGTTCCACGACAAGATCATACCATGCGTTGGCAATAACCTGGTACCGTTCGGACCTGGCTATGAGGATTCTGCGTTCCAGTCTTGCGCCGGTGTAAGTGGTGCGGTTCAGGGAATGACCTATGTGACTGGCGAGCAATATCTGGCTTCCCTAACATACTCATACTCGCATGTCTGGAGAAACTTTGGTATTCTCTGGGCCTGGTGGGCGCTTTTCGTCACTGCGACCATCTTCGCCACATCACGCTGGAAGTCTGCCGCGGAGGCTGGCAACACGCTACTCATCCCTCGTGAAACGGTGGCGAAACACCACGCTGTGACTCGCAAGGATGAGGAAGCACAGGTCAATGAGAAGACTGGCCACAAAGGCACGAACGCCGACACCCAAGAAGAGAGCGAAGTCGATCATCATCTGGTTCGGAACACTTCGGTCTTTACATGGAAGGATCTTACTTATACCGTCAAGACCCCGTCCGGTGATCGTGTTTTGCTGGACAACGTTTACGGTTGGGTCAAGCCCGGCATGCTGGGCGCTTTGATGGGATCCTCCGGCGCCGGCAAAACCACTCTTTTGGATGTCTTGGCTCAGCGTAAAACCGACGGTACCATTCGGGGGTCGATCATGGTTGACGGACGGCCGTTGCCTGTTTCTTTCCAGAGGTCCGCGGGCTACTGTGAGCAGCTCGATGTGCACGAACCATTCGCTACTGTTCGAGAAGCTCTGGAGTTCTCCGCCTTGCTTCGTCAACCACGCCATATTCCAAGAGAGGAGAAGTTGAAATACGTGGACGTTATCATCGATCTGCTTGAGTTGCATGATCTTGAGCACACTCTCATTGGCCGAGTGGGTGCAGGATTGAGCGTCGAGCAGCGCAAGCGAGTCACCATTGGCGTGGAGCTTGTCTCGAAGCCTAGCATTTTAATCTTCCTGGACGAACCTACGTCTGGTCTCAATGGCCAATCCGCTTTCAACACAGTCCGCTTCTTACGGAAGCTCGCCGACGTCGGCCAGGCGGTTCTTGTGACCATTCACCAACCCTCTGCCCAGTTGTTCGCTGAATTTGATACACTGTGGCTATTGGCCAAAGGCGGCAAGATGGTCTACTTTGGTGACATCGGCGACAACGCTCGGACAGTCAAGGACTATTTCGCTCGATATGGTGCTCCATGCCCTACGAATGTTAACCCTGCTGAGCATATGATCGACGTTGTCTCCGGCCACCTGTCCCAGGGACGCGATTGGAACCAGGTCTGGCTCGAGTCCCCGGAGCACACCAGCGCGTCTCGGGAACTAGACAATATAATCAGCGAAGCAGCCTCCAAGCCTCCCGGTACTGTCGACGATGGCTATGAATTTGCCATGCCGCTCTGGGAGCAAACAAAGATCGTCACACAGAGAATGTCAACCTCGTTGTACAGAAATTGCGACTACATCATGAATAAGATCGCGCTGCACATCGGATCAGCCTTATTTAACGGTTTCTCATTCTGGATGATCGGCGACGGCGTCTCGGATATGCAACTTAAACTCTTCACCATTTTCAACTTCATCTTCGTCGCCCCCGGTGTCATCAACCAGCTTCAGCCTCTGTTCATCGAACGCCGCGACATCTACGACGCAAGAGAGAAGAAGTCCAAGATGTACTCCTGGAAAGCGTTCGTCACTGCCCTGGTCGTGTCCGAGTTCCCCTACCTCTGCATATGCGCTGTTCTGTACTTCGTTTGCTGGTACTACACCGTCGGATTCCCCACAGACTCCGACAAGGCTGGCGCGATGTTCTTCGTCATGCTCTGCTACGAATTCCTCTACACGGTTTGTCCCCTTCCATCCTCAATCTTATGCCTAAAATCTAACATGCAACCAGGGAATCGGACAATTCATCGCCGCCTACGCCCCCAACGCGACCTTCGCCGCACTAACTAACCCCCTCATCATCAGTACTCTAGTCTCCTTCTGCGGTGTGCTCGTTCCCTATTCCCAGATCCAGGCTTTCTGGCGGTACTGGATCTACTGGCTCAACCCCTTCAACTACCTCATGGGCAGCATGCTGGTCTTCGCCGTGTTCGACACAGACGTCAAATGCAAGGACGGCGAGTTCGCCGTCTTCGACACGCCGAATGGCACGACGTGTGCGGATTACCTGTCGACGTATATGCAGGGTTTCGGGTCCCGTGCGAATCTGATCAATCCCGAGGCGACGTCTGGCTGCCGTGTTTGCCAGTATCGGTATGGAAGCGACTACCTGTACACTATCAACTTGAAGGATTACTACTACGGCTGGCGGGATACTGCCATTGTTTGCATTTTCGTTCTCAGTTCGTATGCCCTGGTGTACGCGCTGATGAAGCTGCGGACCAAGGCTTCTAAGAAGGCGGAGTGATTGTCCTTTGGGTTTCCTCGCTGTTGTCTTAGGCGGAGAGAACCAGGAATTTGGACTTTGGCCTTGGCGGTCTCTGTCGTCGAACCGGCGTTCTCCCGGTTTACTCATTTCAGTTCTACCATCAAAGCCCATTGGGGTTTGGAGATCTCTTTTCATATACCAAGTTTCTGCCATAATAGACTTGCTTAGATTCAGAAATATCGTTGCTTATAAAGGAAATCCCAGCTATCCCTATTCTTCCACATGAACCAATTTAGACTTGGATGCAATCTTACCCGCCAGATCCAACAACGTACTACTCGCCAAAATATCCAAAATCGGCACCGTGCTCTCCATCGTCTTCGATATCCAGTTTCGCAACTCCACCGCCATGTGCGAGTCGATCCCATACTCCGTAATGGGATGCGAGGCATCGATGCTCTCGATCGGAACAGACAGATGCGCCGCAATCTTCCCGCTCAAAGCACTGTAGATAACCCCGGAAGCCTCTTCGAGGTTACTGACATCTCGGAGGGTCTCGCGTAACTTGCCAATAAACTCATCAGACTGGTCCTCTCCCCCCTTTCGCTGAAACTGTCGACGGAAGTGTGCAAAGAGGGGCGCGTCGAAGTTGCTGAGCGACTGCCCTTCTTTCCACTCGCCCAATCCCGTAATAATCTGTGAGGTCCTGCCTTCACCGAACGGCGATCTGATTGAGGCAGCAATCAGAGACATCAGCGTCGCTGTGTCTGTGCCGTGGAAACCTTGTTGGGCCATCTTGGCCGCTAGATCGCGGTTTCCGGCCAGGTACCCTACGTCGGTTATCACGCCGAGGTCTAGGGAGACGGCTGGAAGACCGAGGGAGTTACGGTATGCCGCGAATGCGTCCAGGAAGGTTGAGCCGGCGGCGTAGGCGGCCTGGGTGGCGTTTCCGATGATTCCGCTAATGGAAGAGAGCATGACGAAGAAGTCGAGGTTGTCTGGGAGATAGCGGTGCAGATTCCAGGTTCCTGCGTATTTCGGGCGCAACACGGACAGGTAATCCTCGATGGTCATTTTCTCGATATGGATATCCTGTCGCCGCGTCAGTTTTCCAGAGGGTATGGTCTACGTTGATTGAATAGACGTACCCGGAGGACCATGGCAGCCTGAATGACTCCTCGAATTGGAGGTGCATCCCGCGCAAGGTCGCTCACCATCTTTTCGACTTGTTGGCTATCAGATATATCGCAGGCGTGTACAACCACGCGGACTCCCTTTTTCTTCAGGTCTCGTGCTGTTTCCTGCGCTGCCTCGCTCGAGAGTCCACTTCTATTGACGAAGATCAACGTTCGAGCCCCGTTATCGGCCATCCAGAGGGCTGTGGCTCGTCCGATACCTCCTAGACCGCCAACGAGTATATAAGATGCATCTGGATCGAGTAGGGCAGCTTGTGGCCTCGGAGTGATGACCTGCTCTTTTGTTAACAAGGATCCGGAGATTCTTCTTATGAGATTACCTTCACAACGTCATCTGGTTGAGCCGAGATTACTATGGAATCTATATCTTCCTCCAATGCGTTCAATGCGTCGGACATATCTGAGATACTATAAGTTGCCAAGGCATTAGAGCCACGGATGTGTCCTGCTCGGAACATGCGCATTACATCGCCCCATGTTCTATGCAGCAACGTTGGCTTGTCTTTCAAGAGCTTGCTGATGTTCAGTGTTGCGAACGAGATGTCATTATCCAGCTGTGGGATTGCCCATTTGAGCTGACTCCGGCGATTTTGTATGAATTTGCCGCCTGTACCGACCAGCCTACATAGCATCTGTAGCATCTCGTTGTCCGAACATTCGAAATTGATTACCACATCAAGAGGCCGATGCCCCTTCATTCTCAGAAGCTTTCTGACCTGTGCGCCATTCTCGTCGACGATAACTCGGTCATCAGGTACTGCAACGGTGCTGACAAGGGAATGCTTGTCTTTCTCAGCTCGGACAACAAAGAGCACGTCAGCCCCTGTATGGAGGCATAATTTTGCTAGAGCTTGCGCGACTGTCCCTGTGGCTCCATATACTAGAACCCTGTCAGTGGAGACGACCCGCCCAAGGTCCTGAAGAGCATATAGTGCTGTGCAATAGGCCACAGGCAAGGCCGCTGCTGCTTCAAAAGATAAATCTGACGGTAAATTTTGGAACGCTAACGCCTGTTCCTGCTGGTAATTGGCCACTGCTCCTTGCGCAAGGCAAGCCACTCGATCACCCGGGGCGAAACCATGGACAGCTTCTCCGACGCATTGAACAATCCCGCTGGCTCCGAAGCTCATCGCTGGTTCTTGAGACATGTCCTGCTCTTCCAGAGCGTTTACGGCTTGTTTATCTATGCATACCGCATAGGTTTGAACTCGGATATGGTCCGCGGGTAGGTCATTCATCCTGGAATCGTCCACAAAGAGCACTGAATCTGCCCGGGAGACATCGGAAATCGTCGCTTTGAGGAATCTGTCCTTCTGATGGAACTTTTCAAGGCTCGTTGTCCGTGTTTTATGCGACACCGCGAGGGAACTGTTGAAGGCCTGGTTCTCGACAACTCGGGGAATGAGGAGCACGCCGTTTCGCTCAGCGTACTCTGTATCGCTCTTACCGTTTCCCTCGGCCAAAATTCTCTCGCGCACTACTGTGCATATAACTTCAGCTGCGTGATTGCTTAAGAGTGGATTCTGTCCGTCCAGATCCAATGTAACTATTCTTTCAATTCCGGATTCAGAGCGTGAAGTACGTACGAACCCAGTTGCCAGGGCACCGTCTGGCGTCACTGGGGATATCGCTGCCCCTCGAGTTACCCACAAGACGCCCAATGCCTTCAGGAAAATTCGCTTCAACATTTCCAGTTCCTGTGGAGTAGGGTCTGCCATCAATTGCCGACTAAGAGCACTGATGATGACGCACACTCTTCCTTCTGGCTTGGCATGGGTGAAATCTGCAATTTCGATGTCGGACGACACGGGGCTGAGACAGTCTTGCAGAGTGGACATGTCTATGCCATTGTCATCATCTTCTGAGATGATTAGAATACTTCGTTTGGGAATTGAATGTTCATGCGACGGACGAGTGATGATCATGAAGGGCCCTTCCCTTGAAGTGCTTGCATCTTCTGTTTCTGAAAATCCGGCCGCTGAGAGCGCAACATTCCAGTCTTTGAGAGTATAGCCAAATCGAGCTTCGGACCAGCATCCCGGAGAATTTGCAAAGATAACAGTGTCGAGTAGATTGTCATGTCCAGCGATGGGATCCACAATAATCAAATGCCCTTGCGGCTTCAGAAGCTTGTGTATATTCCTGAGAGCTTGCAACTTCGATGGGACCGTGCAAAGTCCCAAAGGCACAAGGACGACGTCGTATTGATGTCTGGGAAAATCTTGTGTCTCCGGACTCTGGTTGAGATCCAATTTCTTCACTTTTAGCCATTGGTTCCACTCGGAAAGCAATGGGGCTAAATGCTCAGGGATCGATGGGGCTTGATGAGTGATTGTGTATTCACTGCATATGGGACCTTGCCCGCTGTTACTCAAGAGCCTTTCAAGATAAGCTTGTGAAGATTGACCAAATGTACCCTCCACCTCAAGTATCGAGATCATTGGGTTCTTATAGCCGACTAGCTCGAGATAGCTAGCTAGTTTCTCGTACACCGGGGTGGAGCGGACGGCGTCCCAGTATTGTTCCCATACTGAAGGATCCATATCAATGGTCGAGAATTTTGGATCTTTCAAGACTGTACTGAGTCGCTCGCCCATTGCAGTGAGGATTCTTCCTTCCGGTCCGGAAGCACTCACTGCATGAATATCGGCGCTATTCATGTCTGGTGGCGGGAGCAAGAGGCTTTCTTGCATCAAATCAACGAAGTATTCAAGCTGTTGCCTTCTGTCTGGATGCAATTCTTCCTTGTCCACGGACTCAAGATCTTGGATGGCTTTCCGAATGTAGTAGGACGCACAACTTTCCAACGAAGTTCTCTTTGCGGATTCGTCGTTGTCGTGATTGTTCTCAGTGAAAATGTTGCTGAATTCTTGCCTCGAAAGTAGATCCGGATCTGCCTTCCAAGTAAGCATGTACCCAAGGCGATCAGTCGGGTTGACCGTATCCTTCGGGGCATTGTTCTCGAGGTTCTTGCATCGCAACCCCTTAATCGACATAGCAACAGTATCATTGCTGTTCATCACTGTAATTGAGGCTACTATACCCTTTCTCGTCCGCTTGTCAATATGAGTCTCGATATGCATTTTAGTGCCTGGTGAATGCTCTGTACAACGAGACACACAAAGCTGGTCTATATAAACCGGGATAGCGGGATCGTCTCTAAAATTCGTCGGAACAAACATCGTATGAAATATGCTGTCTAGTGTGCAGGGGTGGATCAAGTACGGGTACTGGAAATTTACCGGCATGACAGTTGCTGTGTCAGGGACAGTCACTTCAGCGAAACACAAGTTGTCAGCGCAATTAGCCTGCGTCAGATTCGCAAAGCAAGGACCATATTCGAGGCCAATGCTGGCTAGCTTTTCGTAGAATGTCGAGATGTCTATGACGCTGAGATCGGAAGTTTTCTCTGTCGTCTGGGAACCCGTCTGGTACTCGGTGTCCAGGGACATGTCATGGACGCCTACTAGGCCACGGCAATGCTCGGTCCATCGGTTCTCAGTGGTCACTGAGTAGATATTGAATTCGTAAAGATGCTCGGAGTCTTTGGTGCCACCCTGACACCCTCGCAGCGAGGTCATGAGTTCAGCAGCAGAGTGCTCCTGGATGACCAAAGCGGCTTTTATTTCAACATCACGGAGAATAAATGCTGAGATGCCCTTGTTGGCCTCCCGCTCCGGCAGGTGTTGAGATGCAGCTTCTATGGCCATTGCAACGTACCCGGCTGCAGGATAAACTATGTTCGACTGTATTTTATGGTCTTTCAGCCATGGGACCTCCGAGACACGCACAAAGTTTCTCCAACGAGGTTCGAACGGACATGATATTCGGTCGAGAGCACCCAGGAGATCTGTCCGCGGGTGCTTGCGCTTTCTGTATGTTGTGCTGATGCGCGGCTCGGCCCAGTATGCTCTGCTGTGGTTCCATGCGTAGGGAGGAAGATCAACCAGGACATGGTTATCTGGTGTCTCGTCTAACGGGTCGTTAATCGCCGAAAAGCTGACGTGAGAACCCAGGCAGGCCAGGGTTCCAGCAACCTCTAATGCCGTCGTGACAGAATCTATTTTACGAGTCAAAACGCTCACATATTGAATCCCGACCGCATCTAGTTTATTGTCATCTTTCAGAATTTGACGGATCGGGCCCGATAATGCTGCGTGAGGGCCAACTTCCAGCAAGACATCCACGTTGACCTTGCGTGTGCCATTTGGTCGCCTGGCACGTCTGTTATTAGGGGCCGCAAACATCGATTTCTGAGTGCTGGTTTCAAAGCAAAGCGCCCTAATGGATTCAACGAATTTGACCTGGCCGAGCAGATTTCTAGTCCAATATTGAGTACCAAGATCAGACGCTTTTACCTCAGCTCCTGTCACCGAAGAGAAAAAGGAGACGGGATGCTTTCCGGATTTGCTTCCAATCCGTGGTCGAATATTCGATATCAGGTCCAGATATTCTCCACCAACTAGTTCCATGTGGTGGGAATGATATGCAACATCAACTGCCAGACGTCGGCAGAAGAATTCCTTCTCCTTTAATACCTTCTCGAGCTCTTCAATAGCCTCAACGTCTCCAGAGACAGTAACGCTGGATGGACTGTTAATGCATGCCACGACGGCTTTCCCAGATTTCAACGTGTCCAGTAACGGTTCTATCTGGGCCGGCGACACCCCGGCAGCGAGCATCCCTCCTTTCATTGCTTCGTTGTGCGATAGCTTGCTCGCTGCAACACCCCTATAGTATGCAACGGATATAGCGTCCTCCATGCTTAGCGCTCCGATGGCGTACGCTGCTGCTATTTCGCCACTGGAGTGACCAGTAACCGAATCTGGTTGTATGGTCCAGGAACTTAAAAGGTCGACAAGTGCGATTTGAAGTGCTGTGCAGATTGTTTGGCTGTGAAGGGGATGGTTGAGCCGTGATGCGTCTTGGTTCTCGAGAATCTCACCTGTTGCAGCACAATTAGCAGAGCTTCTTTATTAGTCGTGATATGAACCTTGATTCAATGATTCGGTCTTTGCTCTTACCTAGGGCAGAAAATGGAGCTCCCAGCCGAGCCAAGTGTGCATCAATTCGATCCATCGACTGGCGAAAAACCGGATATGCTCCCACCAGCTCCCGTCCCATCCCACACCATTGCGCTCCCTGGCCTGTGAAAACAAAGCCAACCACTGGTTTTCGTATGGCCTTTCTAACCTTGATACTACCTTCCAAAGCTTTGATCAAGCTGGCAGCTGAGTTTCCGGTAACCGCTGCTCGACACATCAGGGTAGTACGTCGTTGATTCAACGTAAACGCCAAAGTGCTCATGAACAGATCGTCAGCTATCGATCGTCTTTCGAGGAGATAGTCTCTGATATTTTCTATCTGCTTTGCGATGGAATGATCGTCAAAACTGGACAGCATGAAAAGACGCGTCCGTGTTGGCGGTTCGTTGTGGCGGCCGTTGGGAGTTTGCGATGGCTTAAGAGCCTTCCTCGGGAAAGGCGTACGAACTTTTCCAACAAGTGCTTGTAAACCATGCGATTTTAAGTACCCATAGGTGTCTTCGAGGATAACATGTGCGTTGCTTCCCCCGTATCCGAAGCTGTTTACCGACACGCGATGAGACCCTTTGCTTTCCCATGGTTCCGGATCGAGTTGAATCTGAAATCATTATCATACTATTCACTCATGAGAGATAATCTGAGAGAACATACCTTGAGCTTCCATTCGTCTAGCAGGATGCGCGGGTTGAGGGAAGTGAAGTTGCGGTTGGGAAGGAAAGTGCGGTTCTCCAGCATCAACACTGCCTTGATCACGCCCGCGACTCCGCTTGTTCCCTCCAGATGCCCCACGTTTGTTTTGATTGACCCGATGCGCAGTGGCTTGGCTGGATTTCTATCTGCGCAAAACACTCTCGCGAGCGCTCCTGTCTCAATTGGATCTCCTGCTTGAGTTCCCGTGCCGTGTGTTTCGACGAATTCTGTATCATGTGGATGAAGACCTGCCGTGCTGTAAACATGGCGAATCAAGGCCTCCTGCGACGCGCCACTCGGGAGAGTGATGCCGGGAGTTCTGCCGTCTTGATTCGACCCAGAACCCCTAATGACAGCTCGGATAGGATCTTTGTCTCTGATGGCGTCTTTGAGCGGCTTCAAGATCAAACACCCAATCCCTTCGCCACGAGCATATCCGTTGGCTTTCTCGTCGAATGTGTAGCAGCGTCCATCCGGTGACAGGAATCTGGATACTGTTTAATTCAATGACATTCAAGTCCTTAATGGAAACCTACTTCATCATGGTCATTGTGGACATGAATTCGTGGCTGAGAATCACGTTTACTCCGGCCGCAATTGCCATCGCAGCGTCGCCGGTGCGCAACGTCTGACACGCCAAATGCAGGGCGACTAGACTTCCTGAGCAAGCGGTATCGACCGTGACGCTGGGGCCCTTTAGGTCGAAGAAGTATGACACTCGGTTGGCCATCATGGCACGCGACTGGCCGGCATTGGTGCACTGGTACATGGGGATAGCATCGGGGTCACGAAGAAGGAGATCTGTGTAATCCGCATTGAAAGAACCAACGAAACACGATGTCTGGCTTCCCATGATTTTGGGAAGAGGTATACCGGCTGGCAGGTGTGAGCGCTATCAACGACCTCTATGCTGTGGGAAACAGACCGTTCTCTATTCCTTCATAGGTCACTTCGAGCAATAACCGCTGCTGGGGATCCATCGCCTGAGAAGTGATATGATAAGCTTGACAGGACCCAATTGTACAGATACTTTGTTGAAAGGCTACAAACCGCTGCCTCGTCACTCGTCATGTTGAAAAAGGGTGCGTCGAAAAGGGATACATCTTCTGTCAGAAAGTGGCCGCCTTGGACATTGACCTGCGATCTGTTATCACATATCTCATTTGGCCGCTGTCATGACTTACAGTGCCGTGCCTCGCATGGTCTGGGTGGTAAAACGCATGACTGTTCCATCTCGACTCGGGTATCTGCTTCCATGCTTCCCGACCTTCGACGATCATTTTCCATAGCTTTTCGACGTTGCTGGCATCTCCGGGTCCCCGAAAGCCCATGCCAATAATGGCAATAGGCATGGATGCGTCGTCCAACGAGTTCGAAGCTTCATCTTGTATGTGGACATTAGAGGGAGAAGGGAGCTGGACAGGTTCACCAGTCCCTTCGAAGGAGTTGATAGCCATGGTAGAAGACTACGAATGGCCCATCCATATGACACTGTTGACGTCCTCTCATGTGACAGAGATTCGGCAAGGGTTCAAGACAATCATTAAATTGCAGAAGCAGCAGACAAATATACATCGCGTGGTTATTATCCGATCTTCAAACGTGAAATTCGCGATCTAACGACATCCAAAGAATGCTCCGTACCAGTACACTGAGAGAAACCGGTATTGAAACCAAGGAATACAGGATAGACATGCGGAATATTCTATTCTGTGCAAGGTAGGACAGAGAGAAAAGCTAGGATCATGTCACCATATCGCCAAGGCTTCGATAGCCAACTTGCGGATACCTGCAGCCATCAAAGCGACATTTTTCTTATCGTTGGGAATATCGTGGGCCTTGCTGTGCACTATCCACGTGGATTTTGATGGATCACACAACCTGTGCAATGCAAGCGAATAGTCGAACAAGGGATCCTTCGCCCCAGCGATGCTTACAGTCGGTATCTTGATATAACCGTCAAGGTCTGGGTCGACTACAGGGTCCTCGCCAGGGTTCATGCGGAACGGTGGTAGGGAATTGATGAATATAGCGCATCGAAAGAGAGATGGTCCATGCGGATACGTCTTCGCATGATGAATGAGAAAGCCCGAAGCCAGGGTTCCTCCGTGCGAGAAGCCTAGAATACCATCAAAGGGGCCGTCCTCATCGATGATGTCATAGAGGAGGTTGTATGCTTCGAGCAAGGATTCTTCCTCGCTGCCGTCCGGGTCAAAAAACGACCGGGGGAACTTGTAGTAGCTGTAGTAGGGACCGTCATAGAATCCTGCGATGCCAGGACCCGGCACCGAGTCAATGTCGCCTTCGACAAAATGAAATGTCGCCGTGTTGTCTCGTTGGAGTTCGGTCATCAAGCCGTCTGCCTCATTAGTATGTGACAGCAGAGCTGAGGGTTGTGCTACTTACTCAGCTGAGATTGCAAGATCTGTCACAATGTCAGCGAGCAGGACGAGGATGGAGTACTCGTGTCACATACCTTGGTGTTCGTGCCCCAACCATGCAGGCAAAGCAACTTGAGTGGCATAGTGGCTGAGTGTGAGATTGGATGTTCTTCTATCTGGTCTTTTGACTGGATGAAATTCGCCGCCTATACTCAATCATGACTTGGCTTGGTTTGATGGAGAGCATTGCGATGCTTTATATCAACTTCAGCTTTCCTTCTACAATATACTGTCGGACATCGAAACAGTCCCCTGGATCACTTCGGTTCTTTCGTCCTGTGGATGCCGGGATACCTTGGAGGCAGATGCAGCTGCCCATTCAAAAGTCACCGTCCTCAAGCTAGTACGACTAATAAAACGTGTCCATATTTTGCCGAGTCTGTATTCCGTGCCATCGTTGATCTTTCTAGTCGACAAGCAAGCTCTTTGGTTCGGTGTGATTTGCCTTTTGTTTGTTTGTTTGTGTCTTTGTTTGGTGGTATATATTTCACTGTAGTCACTGGCGCTTGAAGACGCGAAAGCGTTCCAGATATTGTGCTGGGTATGTTATTCTCTCTTATATTCGGGCTCGATGATTATTTTCCATATTCCATAAACATCTGTCACGCATCTTCAATGGATTTGTGTTCTGTAGCGTCCCTTCTTAGCGAGGTGGAGTTTATGAACAATGACGTTGGTGCATATCGATCGATCGGATGAATGACTTATACTCCGCGACATAGAAACTTGTAAAATTTCCGAAGAACAAGTCAACACTCTACTCGGAAAATATTTTTCAACCTCAAGAATGATGCCGTGGTCATTTGCACTCCCTCAAGAGTTTTTACCTCGCCAGTCCTGGTTGTAGCGACGCCTGTTGGGGTAGGATCCCTGGTGGGATATCTGGTCTCCTCTTCATGGGCGATAGCTAAGATATTACTAGTCCTTTATGGCGACCAAACTGGCCGATACTTACTCCATACGTCTACAAAATTAGGCCACACAAAAGATGTCTACAGCCGTCTCCGCCAACCGCCCCTACGCCCTCCCGCCTGGGTCTTCGGGCCCGTGTGGACTATCCTCTACGGGATGCTGGGCTACGCGGCCCACCACGCAACAACCTGCGCGACCCTCCACACACCCACGACGGCAGTAGCCTCGTCCCAAACGCTGTATACGACGCAGCTGGTCCTCAACTACCTCTGGATGCCGTTGTTCTTCGGTGCGCGGAAACCTGGAAACTGATGGTAATATGGTGGGAACCGTGGGATATCGATCGCATGCTCCCATATGCAGGATGGCTCTGCTTTGCGACGTATCTCAATCTTAGTGTTGGATGGTTGAACAAATGGATTCTGACAGTCGTGACGTACGATAGTTGCGTGGTGCAGAATCCACTATTCCATGGCCAAAGAGTCTAATAATAATAGTCAATCACATGCACGCGGTGATTCCAGCAGCTGGAGGTGAGTGTTCGGCGAAAATAGAACACGTTTTGATGCGAAGTCGATCTGTTTCGTTGATCCTGCGAGAGTACTCCATAGGGAGCACGGATCTTGAGTCTGGACTCTGTGCTGTGGAACAAGGTGATCTGCGCGAGGTGGATAATTTCACGGGTAAATTGGCTGGAAATTTGACAAGGGCAAGTTCAACAGCCCATCAGAATGCTCTGATAGACCACATTGCCGGTCGAGTCCGCTGCAGCCACGGCGCAAGCCTCGGGAGGCAGAGATTTTCTCTGCAGCTTCCACCGCAGCGTCCGTGATTCGGTGTGATTCTGTCATCTCGCCACTTCCGAGTGCCGACCCACAGCCAAGCATCTTATTCATCCTTTTGTATCATGATTGTGCCAATAATGGTTCTCCACCAGTTGCGTGGCTTGCAGTGTCATTGAGTTTGGGTCTTTGAGCGTCGAGTCCTTTGACACTACTGATTGAGCCACCTCTTTGGAAATGGAGGATCGGTAGTAGACTGCTTGGTTCTAGAGCAGTCCCTTGATCAACAATCACCAGGATAGTAAAATATAGCGATCTTGTGCTGCATGGAAACTGTTTGTAGATTGTAGGGAAGAGAAGCTATATTAAGGGTGCTATTGATAAGGATCATCTGTCCAAGACCCTCCGAAACACCGACCAGTCGATCAATCATGCCCCTCCACCATGAGATCATCGTCTTCTTATCATCTCTTCAACTTCACAACAATGAACTCTTGCGCCGAGACTTTGACTTGTTTCTTTAAAAAGTCAATGGCTTCTTTTCAGCTGTTCCGAAACCTTCCATCTTTCAGACGAAAGTCTGTTCTAGACTCGACTTATTTTTGGGTCGCCTGTCCCACGCCCTCCCACTTAGTCTTATCTCTGGTTCCTCTCCACACTCATCCATCCTCTCTGCTTCTCGCTGCCTGTCGTTAACCCATTAACACCACTGCATTCCTCGATTTGTCATATCATTGTGCCAGCCATTGTATGTATTTGTACGGTGACTAGTCCTTTAATCTCTATCCGTTCCTCCACCGTTCGTCCAGACATTCGTTCATCGTCTTCTGCCCCGTACACTCTCTTTCTGGCATTCCCATCAACTTTACCTCTTATTGCTGCGATAATTGACATCTGGAGTGCATTTGCCTCCCAATGTCGGAGACTCATCATGATAACGAAAGCTACGAGTTGCTCACCAATCCAGAGTCTTTAGAGCGAAACACCATTGAGGACCGCAACAGTCATGCCCGCAGTCGCTCACAACCAGCCAACGCCGAGGCGCTGGGGAGTCACCACCTGGGACCACCTGGCGAACTCTCAAGACCGCATCGAGTAAGATTTCGATCTTTCAGCCAACATCGCGATGCCGACAATACCGAGTCTACCGAGAGAGTCTACTCGAATACCTCCGACAGCTCGTCCTGGACGCTGCTCAATTCCGCACTACGATCCACGGATGTTACCGATATGCTAAAAGCAGAGCAATTCGATGATGAGACAGATATAACATCGAGATATGATGGGTCGGGTTACTCCAGCGCCCAATATCCGCCTTCTACACCCGAACGCATCTCCGAAGACTCCACAACCAGGGAGCGAACACCGAACCGATCGAAGTCTGTCAAACAAAGATGGAAGGAGGCAGGTCAGTTGATCAGGCAAAAGACGGTCCGTTTGGGAGAACGCCTGGGTAGACCGCTGGATGACGGTGAGGCGCTGGGAGTCTCCTTTTTGCCTGAGGACCTGGAAGAGGGGATGCCGATACGCAGGTTCGATAGCGAGTATCGCATGCCTATGGGCGACAATACCGACGACGAGAACCGACCCAACCCCAGTGCGGAGGCGCACCGTCTTGTTCGACGGATAACTCAGCGCAATAATCTGCGCCATCGCAAACCGAAACCCGCCTACCAACGTTCTGGCCAGAGCACTCCCGAGCGTCCCAGTTCGTGGTATGATTCGTACCGTCCTCTCTCCTTCAGTGGAGGAGGCGGCATTTTGTCTCAGCTGCTTAAGCTGCAGGCTGCGCAGAATGAAAAGGATGGTCTGTCGGCCACGGATGATTCCGACGACGGCTCTCCCATGTCCTCGGGAGCTACAACGCCCAAGTCAGGATCGGCGACTCCCAAGTCGGGTGCAGTCACACCTAAGAAGGAGAAACTGAAATGGTATAAGAAACCGCACCATCGATCAACCGCTTCCCTGGTGGAAGCATCGATGAACTTAAGTCGGGCCACCTTACCGTCGTCCGCCGACGTTCTGTCGATGACACAGCAGCAGAAGCGGGGGAAGAAGAAGCCTTATCGCAAGTATCGGTTGGAGGACGAAATCAAGGTGACAGTGCATATTGCAGAGATCCTAGCACGGCATCGGTATATCATGCAGTTGTGCCGTGCGTTGATGCGGTATGGTGCGCCTACGCACCGATTGGAGGAGTACATGACCATGACGGCGCGGGTCCTGGAGGTCGAGGGACAGTTTCTGTATCTGCCTGGTTGTATGATCATGTCCTTCGATGACCCTGTTACTCGAACAGCCGAAGTCAAGCTGGTTCGTTCG